AAACCGCTGTCTCCTGTCGGTATATGGTGTTTACTTGTTGGACGTCAGTTTGTGACGTCGAACTTTAAAATTGAAAAGAAATGAGTTCATTAATAACACCGCCTTTTTACAAATTGCATTTTATTTGTCATGCTTATAAATAATAATTTATCCCACAATCGATACCATACGAATCAATCGGTACAGAAAAAATTATTTTCACCGGGCCTTGTTTTATTTAGGTGCTTAAAAAATATGTTGTCTCGCGGGTTTACGAAAAGTCAATATGTCATTTATGGGCTACACAATCGTGCGCGATGTTATCAGACGCCGATTTGCTTCTGCGTGCCGCTCAACATGTCCTGGATCTCCTTGAAACTCTTGCCTTTCGTTTCGGGCACGACGGTCAGGATGAACGCGTGGCCGATCACCAAAACGCCCCCGAAAATCCAAAAACTGCCGGCCTCCCCGAGACTCGCGCTCAAAAACGGGAAACAAATGGTGATTAGGAAGGACAGACTGAAGCATACGGAAGCCGTCAGCGTGGACGCCGACGACTTCACGTTCGACGGGAACAATTCGCCCAAGAAAATCCACGGGATGTTGGCGAAACCGAGGTTAAAGGCGACCATAAACGCGATAAGGGACATAATGGGCAGCCAGGAGATGTAGGTTGTGTCCCGTCCCGCGGATCTGAGGAAGAAGTACAAGCCTAACGTTAACATGCAGAGGGCGGCTATTAAGGAGGATATAGCCAGCAGTAGTTTCCTGCCCATCCTGTCTATTAGCATGGAGCTGGCGAAGTTGGTAAGCATGGAGATCGTCGAGATGATGATGGTCGCGTCGAAGGGCGATATCGACGCGCCGGACACTTCGAAAATCGATTGCATGTAGGCGAGGACGGCGCAGATCCCGGAACACTGCTGGAAAACCATCAGCCCGCAGCATATTATTATGGCCTTCGACACCGATTTGTTGGTAAACAGGTCCGAGATACTCCCCCGGTTCTCGGAGTCCGTCTCCACGGTTTCCGTAATGTAAATGAGCTCCTTTTGCACCTGAGCGCCCGTCCTCCGTCTCAGTTTCGTGAGGCTTCTTTCCGCCTCCGTCTGGTCATTTCGCCGTACTAAATCGTAGGGACTTCCGGGCACGAAAACCCCGAACAAAACGTAGAAAAGCGCCAAGGGTATTAGGTTGATGAGGCTGAACCATCGCACGGAAACCAAAGGTCCGACCGCATAGCAACATATTTGGCCGAAGGCGGCGATGAGCCCCAGCATGCTCCCGAACACTCCCCTGTTGTTGTCTTCCGATATCTCGCCCACGTAACTCGGTATGACGCTGAATACTCCGCCTACGCCGATACCGATCAGAAACCTGGCGACTAGGAATAGGTTGGGGGTGGTGGCGAAGGCGCAGATCAGGTGGGACGCGGTCATCGGCAACCCGAAGATGAGGAGGGCTTTTTTCTTTCCAAGTTTCTCGGAAAGCATCCCGGCGGCGAAGGGGCCGGTAAACGCACCCATCATCATGATGGAGGCTATCCACGATTCTTCGAAGTTCGTCAAGGGCTCACCGAGTGGGTTTACGGTGCTGTCGTGGTCCCTGAGCTTGGGTAGAACGGGCGATGCCCAGGTGAACGCGGCTCCCGCGGCCATGGTTATTAGGTTGACTGCAAAGAAGAATTGCCGTTTTCTATCCGCACCAATCAACGCGAGAAAAAAACCAAACGCCTTGTTTTGTTTCTTACAAATTTGGTTTGTTTTTTTCTTCTAACCCAGTATTCGTCCCGTTCTTGATTTTCTAAAAGCTGAAGCTGTTTCTAGCTGTGGCGATTTAACCTTCCACCGAGAATCCGTGGAAATTTTCAACTGCCCGTAACTTTTTATGTCATATTTTTGAGTGGCAAGAATCTACGAATGGATAAACCATTTCAGAAATGTCGAAGAAGCTATTGTGCCCAAATAATATCGACACCGATAACTAAAATATATTAGAAGATTTGCGTTCGATTTATCTTGACAACATTTTAATTAGCTATAAGTTTTTTTGTTTTTAGAGATATCAAGGTAAACAAAAAAACAAAATGTAGGGTTAGTAGCCAAGTGACGTATAAAACAAAACACTAAAAATTTTCCTACATCATTTTTTTTAAATGAAACACCCTGTATATTATATGTGTTTCATAGAATATCTTATGAGGTAACACACTTTATATTTTGGTCCACTCGTTTCTGGCAAATCGGCAAAAATAGTAAACTTTTATATATTTCAAAGAGTGGCATGACTGACAAATAAAAATATGTTTATGATTGACACATTGGTAAACAACGTTCATGGAATTTTTTAAATAGACATAATTTATGGACTGATGAAAGTTCGTTCACTACAAGAAAGATATTGGTCTTTAAATAATCCTAGACAATTAAACTAATTGAAAACCCAGGGATGCCAATCGATTAATGTATGGTGCGGTGTCACAGGTGGACATATTTTGGGTGCGATATTTATAAATGAAAAATTAACTGGAGATCATTATTTGCAACTCTTAGAGCACCAAATAGAACAATATATTGTTAGATTTAAATAAATCGAGATTGTTTTAAAGACGACTTTTCCGATCTTGGCGTCAATGTCGAGCGGTGCATGCCAGAGCAGGGCATCCAACTGATGCCCGTCGCCACCCTCTGCGGCGTCCCGGCTCACGCGCGCGAATAGACCCGAAGATTTCCCGACGCATCCGAAATCGATAGATCGCGCCAATATTTAAATATTCGAACGTAATCTAACACGGCCAAACTGACAACATTCCGCTCTCGGAATGCATGACTCATTTGAAGTGTCACAGACATGAACACACAGAAAAAAAACAAAGTTTTATTTCTTTACAGCAACGTTAAAATATATAGATGTGTACATCGGTAAAAATTCGTAAACCTTTCATTCTGCAGATTTATCATCAGCCGTCCCAGAGTTCCCTGTAATGAACAAAAAACGAGAATTCATCAATCAAATGAATTTCACAAACAATTGGGACTAGATTTACGTAATAACTCACAAGCTGACAGACACGATGGAAATTCTGTAGTAAGCACGCATTTACAAATACAGAGTTGACTTGAGTAGCACGATGGAAATACTGCAATAAGCACGTATTTGCGATGGGCTCTCAAACAACAAAATCAAAACACAGAGTTGACTTGAGCAGCGCGATGGAAATACTGCAATAAGCACGTATTTGCGATGGGCTCTCAAACAACAAAATCAAAACACAGAGTTGACTTGAGCAGCGCGATGGAAATACTGCAATAAGCACGTATTTGCGATGGGCTCTCAAACAACAAAATCAAAACACAGAGTTGACTTGAGCAGCGCGATGGAAATACTGCAATAAGCACGTATTTGCGATGGGCTCTCAAACAACAAAATCAAAACACAGAGTTGACTTGAGCAGCGCGATGGAAATACTGCAATAAGCACGTATTTGCGATGGGCTCTCAAACAACAAAATCAAAACACAAAATACTCCAAAGACTATTTAAATTAGTTTTATATACACAACTCAAATCAATCTAACACGGCACAACAAGTCAAATTATGTACTTACAATTGTCTAGTTGTAATAATCTTTGGAAATCGTCAGGCGTCCAATCAGTAGGCCAATGCCGCAACTGATCCTTAGAACATTTAAAAGTTTTCGGAGTACCTAATTTCTTAATCAAATACCGATTATTGGTAAGTGATCTCTTGATTATGTAAGGACCAACAAATTCACAAGAAAACTTTTCAGGTCTTTGACCTCGGCTTAACAAAACAGTATCACCTACTTTATACAGCTGATTGTCTCTTCGCTTCTTATTTAGATAATTCAACTGCCTTTCTGAATTTTGCCGTAGTTTCTTTATAACTGCGGAATAATCCACTGGAGATTTAGTTTCATCAGGGATTGGCAAATCGGTTAAGACTGTACGAATTTGAGGCGTTTGACCCTCTCGACCAAATACTAACTTAAAAGGTGAGCAACCAGTCGTCTTTTGTTTCGTAGTATTGATTACTAACTGGATCTTCCATACTTTGTTCGGCCAATCTGTTACTTTATTGGATTCAACTCTTAACAAATTGGTAATAGTTCGCATATAGCGTTCTATTTGTCCGTTGGAGCGATGAACACCGGGGGTTGTCACGTGTAATTCGATGCCAAAATATTCGGTAAATGATTTAAATATTTTTGCTATGAAATTAGTTCCAGCGTCGTGAATTAGTTTGGAGGGCGTGCCAAATATGCTGAGGAATTTAGCAAAATTTTGTGTTGTTTCTTCTGTAGTAACGGTGGATTGAGGATATAGGAGACAGAATTTGGAGAAGGCGTCAATTATAACAAGGATATATTTATAGTTTTTTGGATTACCTGGTAAGGGGCCCAGACAGTCGACATGAACTGTATGGAATGGTTCATCGGGCTTTGGGATAGAAGTAAGGAAGCCTTGTTTAGGACCCGTCTGATTTTTTCGTACTGCACATATCAAACAGTGTTCAACATACTTTTTAACATACCTGGTCATATGGGGAAACCAAAAGTAAAGTCTGATTGAGGCAAGAGTTTTTTCCCAACCTATGTGACTTTGATCATCGTGAAATATTTTCAAAAGACTATAACGGTTATTAGATGGTACAAAAAGTAAAGACTGAGACGATTTGTTATTTTTATTGGTTGTAATACGAAATAAGGTCTCTTTTTCTAATTTATATTTTCGTTTGACATCATCTTTAGCATCGTTCAAAGATTGAATGATTTGTTTACATTCCTCATCTTGACTTTGTGATACGGTAAGCCAATTTTTATGAAAATTGGGTTGTGAATCGATATGAGCTACAGTTTCAATTGGGTTCCTGCTAAGGAAGTCAACATGAGATATTTCAGAGCCCTTACGATAAACAATTTCGAAGTCGAAATCCTGCATATAAGCCCACCAGCGGGCGGTCCGCGGCTTAAGTTCTTTTTTGCTTGCAGATAATTTTAAGGAATTGCAATCAGTTACTAAAGTGAATCTTAATCCAAGCAAATATACACGAAAATTTTTTAAAGCTTTCACAACGGCCAGAGTCTCTAGTTCAAACGAATGATACATAGCTTCATCTGGATTGGTTTTTTGACTGAAATATTCAACTGGACGAAAGGTATCACTGTGTTTCTGCAATAAAATAGCACCGAAACCAATACTGCTCGCATCAGTATGCAATTGAGTCTCTAAATTTGAATCGAAAATTGACAATAGGGGTTTTTGAGTAAGGACATCAATAACATACTGCCTTGCTTTTTCACATTCAGTCGTCCAAACAAAGGGAACATCATTACGAGTCAAGTGAGTTATACAAGCTACTTTGGAAGAAAAAGCGGGAATAAATTTACGGAAGTAGCTCGCCAAACCGATGAATTGGCGCACTTGTTTCACGTTAGTGGGTGACAGACTTTCCTTGACTGCTTTAACTTTATTCGGATCAGGTCGGATACCATCAGCCGATATTTGACGACCTAAATAGGTGATGTTTTGCATAAAAAATCGACATTTACGAAGATTAATTGAAAATCCGGCTTTAGACAAAGCATCAAGAACTAATTTTAGTTTACAAAATCCATCCTCAAGTGTGATGGAGGGTATTACTATGTCATCCATGTAAACAACCGCGGTGTCATATTTTAGGTTACCTAAAGCCATATTAATTGCTCTCTGAAAGACCGCAGGACCATTGGCCAGTCCAAAAGGCATTTTTAAATACTCATACTGACCATCCGGTGTCACGAAAGCGGTTTTTGGAATCGACTCGGGATTAATCGGGATTTGGTGAAAGCCCGAAGCCATATCAAGTGACGTGAAAAATTTATTTTTGCCTAAACGATCGAGCTGATCGTCAATACGTGGCAATGGATACCGATCTCTTAAAGTTATTTTATTCAAATGACGATAATCGACACACAATCGAAATGTCCCATCTTTTTTCTTAACGAGTATAATCGGGCTCCCAAATGGAGAATTGCTCTCCCGGACGATTTCGTTTTTAATTAGATCAGCAACGATGCCACGTACTTTCTGACGCTCAAACTCCGACATACGGTAGGGATGGTGATAAACAGTTTTGTTTTCTGTCAATGTGATGGTTAATTCCCCGGTATTGACAGGTTTAATGGTAAAATCAGTAGCAGTTGACAAATTCTGATAATTCCCCAGCAGTTTGATTAGTTCAGCCATTTCTGCATGCTCCAGATCACTTGTTATTTCCGAGTTATGAATGGTTCGAGTAGAATTTGTAAGCGCAAGCATGGGCATAATTTTTTGAACGTTTTTATTTTTTATTAAAACTACATTATTTTCGTAAACATTTTCACCAACGATAACGTCATATTTGGAATGACTATGCGGCACAATAACAAGATCAAGCGTTATTTTTATTTCGGGAAACTCTACCAATGCTTTGGTAAAAGAAAAAGAATTATGTATGGTACCGTCGAACCATCGTAAAGGAGTAACACGCGGAATTTTCTTTAGATTTAATTTGTCTACCAACGTTTCTTTTATTAGCGAACACGTGGAGCCGGTATCAATTAAACAATTTGTAGTGTAACCCGAAATAACGATAGGCACAGTTTTTAACTTGTTTTCATTAAAATTATGTGAATTGAGCAAAACGTGATGAGATTTAAATTTCTTTACGGTTGGGTCCTGTCCGGACTCTGAAACTTCACTTCCTCGACTTTGTTTATTTTGCCGACGAAAACAATTTTCAATGCCGTGACCAGGTCTTTTACAATATCGGCAAACATCAAACCCTTTATTATCCGAGTTATTGGTATTCTTAGTTTTAGATTTACAATCGCGAGAAAAGTGTCCCGATTGACCGCAAGAATAACAATTTGCCTGCGTCGTTTTTTTGTGTGAAAATACATTATTTTTCTTATTCAATTCGGATGCCGATTTTTCGACCAGAGGAATTTTTATGTAATTAGAGAGAAATGCAATTAAATCACTAACAGAGGCGGCACTACAATTATAGGCCGCAGTTCTGACCGCAAGATCGTCTATTGAATGAGCAATTATTTCGATCAAATCCGAATCAGACCAACTTGCCCGCGTGCGCTTTAATTTTTCTAATTTAATTCTCGCGTATTCAACATAACTGCGCGCATCGGAACTACGATAATTTACAGCATCGCTTAACAGTTTACCCAAATTCTTTTGTTTGGGAAAAGATACAGAAAAGTCAAATTTAAAATTTTCCCACGTTTCTTCCGTGGGTTGCCATGCCGAAAACCATCTTAGTGCAGATTTTTGCAAAAATGGACCAATTCTACTCACGGTTTCCCGATCTGACCAAGCAAATTCGTTCTTATACCCTTCAATTTTTTGTAACCAAATACCACTATCCATATTGTCGGGGTCAAAACTCGGCAAGGCCAACGAAATGGGAGTGGTTTGGGTGGCTGGCGATGTGGTTGATGTCGGCGACGGCTCCTTTGTACCGACACGCTGTTGCAAATTCTCAAGGATCGACGCTATGGCGCCCAAAGATCGATTCAGTTCTTCTTCGGCCATTATAGCACACTCCAAATTACGTTAAACGATTACACGTGTACCCCACACCTGATGTTAGATTTAAATAAATCGAGATTGTTTTAAAGACGACTTTTCCGATCTTGGCGTCAATGTCGAGCGGTGCATGCCAGAGCAGGGCATCCAACTGATGCCCGTCGCCACCCTCTGCGGCGTCCCGGCTCACGCGCGCGAATAGACCCGAAGATTTCCCGACGCATCCGAAATCGATAGATCGCGCCAATATTTAAATATTCGAACGTAATCTAACAATATAGAAGATTTACCCCTAAATATATCAGCGTATGGCAGTAAGACTCACTATGGCGTCCAAGTTAAAAATTTGTTTGTTTGTCTGCTTTGTGGATTTCACGAAGGCATTCGATGGAATAAATCTTCAAGACGTGATTGACATTCTAGACTAGCCAGACTCCAAATATATCGGCCAAGGTGACAGTTTAAGCACTACCCTCCTTAACATAGTGTGAAACTAATGAAAGGCAGTTTTCGAATGGGAAATGGTTCTCTGAAGATTGTCTGCTATGCGGACGATGCAGCTCTTATAGCACAGAATGCAGATGACCTCCAACAACTATGCTTTTTCAAAAACATTTTTTTTATTTCCTATGAAACTATGAAAACCACTATTGTAGTCGGGGCTTCTTATAAACCGCTCTTGGGTATTTGATGACGTCAAAAGGAAGGAAGTTTGCATATTGATTCTGGATTCCTTTTGCGTCGAGCCTGCTAACGTTTCGTCAATCGTCCTGTTGGCTTATTCATAGCTTGACTGAAACTGTACTTTGTACTTTGTACCTGCTTATATATAGTTTGAGGGGGGCGGAGCTAAAGAAGGGTCACGAAAGGTCGCGATTAAGATTGTTTGGTCGCTTATAGAGATAGGCTCTCGGACTTTTCGTTGGTAAAAGAATTGATTGTAGGCAAGAATTTTAGATTTGGTTAGTTCCATCACAAAATACACCTCACCACAACCTTCCAATAGCAATGAGCTCGAAGCAATACCACACTTGTCACGGTTGTCCTTCTTTACATTCAAAACATCAATCGTCAAAACCAGATTTTCCACTTGTCCAAAAATCTCTCGACAATTTCGATCCCTCAATCACAAAATTCCATTTGAGATGTCAGCAGTTTACAGCATATGTGGCAAAGAATACATCGAAGAGACCGGACGAAAATATCAACCATGTCCAAGGAACGTGAAATAGACTTAAGACAAATAAACTCATCAGCAGTTGCTGGTCAACGGTCAAATTTTTGAACAAACATTGGGAACAGCTATGAGAAGAAAGCTCTCGACACCTTCCATCTAAAACCAAAGTTATTTGGCCTCATGGACAGGAATCCCTAGTAGTTTTTCTTAGATATTTAAACTCTATACAACAATACAACCTCAACCAACAATCTAATAACAACCTCCCATTCTTAGATGTTCTTATCAATAGAAAATCAGACCTAACATTGGGTCATTGTGTTTACAGAAAGCCTACGCACACAGACCGATACCTTAATGCATTGTCACATCACCATCCGGCCCAAAATTCATCGGTTATAAATATATATAAATTTTTGAAGAGGAGATACGAAAATGGGATGCAGAATTAAAAATTACTTATCTTAGATAACTGCCCTGCACATCCCCCATTTCTTCTAGCCAAAACAACAAGTGTATGTCAGCCGATGGACCAGAAAGTCTTAAGAGTCGATACAGGAATGACATTTTAATGGAAATGATCGAGTCCGAAGACAAATTTTCCATTAATATGCTAGAGGCAGTCAACTTTATTAGTAAAGCTTGGAAAGAGGTGACAGCAGAAACAATTCGACACTCCTATCGTAATGCAGCACTTATTACAGAGACAGAATGCGAACAGGACTTGGAAGATGATGATGATGATGAGTGAGTGGATAAAGCAGTTTCAAACAACAATTACGTTTACAAGTGAGGAGTTGCAACATTTTATGGTGATAGATAAGGATTTGCTTACAACAGTAGACTGGACAGAAGAAGCCATATTATAACAAACAAGAAAGGATGAGGAAGAGCGCCAAGAGGAAGAAGATGATGAAGAAGTTGATCTGGGACCACCGCCCACCATTCAACAAGCTCTATATTCAGTTAAGCTGCTAGAGATCATGGGGAAGATGCTTCTCTCGAAGAAATGGTGAAAATACACGCCAAAGTACGAGAAGTTTGGTAAAAAGTATGTTTGCATCTTCGCGAGATGATACGAAACTTGTTGGGATCTTACCTGCCACCACCACGAAGTAGATGAAGTAGTTGATGTTTTGCTTTTCCATATTATACGACGCAACTTTGCCACGGTACGAAAATGATAACAAACGAGACTTCCTACATAAATACGAAATGAATGAAAAAAGTCTATGCGTGGCAAAATTCTCGACCGAATTGTCCCCTTTGCGTCGAGCGTTCGGCTTTTATATCTGTCTCCCGATTTACTTTTTGCTTTTTCCTGTTTAGACACCGTTCTATCTGTATTATTACAGATTTGCTCGAAGCCATGTCCACAATCCAAAAACAATGAATACCGAACCGGCAAACTTGTTGATTTTGCATTGTCGCGGTTTCAGACGCGGATTAACGGCCGAAATGTGTTAAAGGAGTTCTCGCGTGACGTCCCGTGTTTGAACTTTAAATTTTTATCACGCCGACAGATAATGCGCGACGCAACTCGCGCGTAATGACAAATTTCGAGTAAAATACTGTGTTTGAAAGAATTAAATGTCTCGATTTGTCGGGATCACGCGCCTGTCTGGACCTCGCGGTTTTTTCCTACCAGAGAAATGTTTTAAAGTTGAGTTATCGTCGTTCTGAAATTAAATACATTAAGCCTAGATCGTGATGCGACTCTTCGAGTAGCAAAATTAGCGCCATTTCCTCACTACTACGATAATAATATTAAAAGCTAGAGAACGACGCCGTACTTACCTGTCTTCTTTACATGGATGATCTCAAAGTATACGCTACCTCTGATGAAGACCTGAAAAGAAACATAAAATTAATACGGGAATTTAGTTCAGATATTGGCATAACGTTTGGGAAATAGGGAAATGGAGGAGACACCAAGGAGTGAAACTAGGAGAGCAAGAAGGGCACATACAAGGAACGGAACGGGATGAACTATACAAATACCTAGGATACCAGAAAGCAGGAGGAATCGATCGAAAAGAATCGAAACCAACGATCACCAACAACTTTAAAGAGCGACTAAAGAAGATTATGGAGACTAAGCTAAGTGGTAAGAGCATGGTAAAAGCTGTTGACGCCTATGCAATAAAGCCTGTTCTAATAATTATTTTTTCTATATTATTTGCAATATGGATATACGATTGTTCTGCTTTTTCTATATGTTTAACAGAATTTGCCCAACTTTGTGGAGGGACGTTAAAAACTTCGGTTTCTATAAGTTTGAGGACATTGGAGTTAACACGGGGAAAAACATTGTTACGACGAATGGCAGATTTCGGTTGTGCCAAATTATTAAATATACAGTGGTAAGGTGAAAGCCTTAAAAAAACTGTATGCCCTAGTTTTTTTGCATAAGTATCGCAGAGGTATTCCTTTTGTAGCTTCAAGCTTTGTAGAACACAATTAAATTACATCGATTTTGCAAAAGTTCTATAGTGGTCCGCGCTACAAATTTGCCCCGCCAGCGACGATTTTTCGAAAGCAATCTTGTCAACACATTTTTCATAAACTGATTTGCATTAAGAGACAAATGATTTATATATTTTTTATATTTATATTTAAATTTTATATACTTTATATATTTCATATATCTATATATGGTAAAATAACTTTTTCTGATTTCTTTTGATAACTGCAATATTAAAACTTGTTATTATACATATTCCCCAGAATTCAAAAATACCGTTTTTCTACATATAGCATACCGGAAATAAAGGTAATACGAAAAGCCCAATACATTTTATTACTGAGCATAAAATCTTCAGAATATATTTTTATAAAATAAAGCCAGAACTATTTCTTTATAATTAAATCCGTTCCTCAAAATTCCTATAATTTTTTATCTACACGACAGACCTATTTGAATCGATGAAACAAAAAAAAATCGTAATAAAAGGTTTCTTATAAAATTTTGCAGTGACAAAATATTATTATAAAAAAAATTATAATAGATAATTGCCACTTGTACAACATACAACTCTTTTTTGCAGTCATAAAAACAATTTATAATTTATACAATATTTTTACAATCTACCTCAAAAACTCTAACAGATCCCAAGCGTAAACTGTGATGTTTTTTGATATCGGTTTTGATCGTGTGGTGCTTTGCAAGCTGAGAACAAATGCCGGATAAAGTTTTTCTTACGTGTTGGTCTGTGACCGATGTAAAACTAACCTTAACTTCGGTAATGGGCGAATGGCCATAGTAGAGTTTGAAACGCAGTGAAGAAGAAGAATAAATTGTGGTTGCGAAAAGGAGGCCTCTGTGCAGGATTCTATGCCCAAATGATCGATACCTTAGGCGCATCGCTACGCCCTAACAGGACCACGGAGCCGCAATAACCAAAATAAACAACAATCCATGATGAAATATCCTATTTTGTTTTCTTAAGCTTCCAGGTTAACGTGTTAACCGCTACCGGTAAGCGATTTAATCTAGTTTTTTTAATACTAACTGATATTTACAAATCATTATCTATTTGAATTGTTCGTTAAGTCTGCGTTTACATTTACTTAGAATGTTGAAGTTATCGGCCTGACGTATTTATGCCGGTATTAAAACTTATGAAGTCACTGTGTTAGCACAGCTTGATTATCCTTTTTGGAGAACGCGAAATGATCGATGCGCGACGACAATATTTTGTGTACATTTTTGCGTTTTTCTTGCAGGATCCGCCATGGACCGCGAGACCAATTACTTTCTTCATTTTTCGGTCATATCAGGTAACGCGTTTTTGATATTCAACGCTTATTTAAAAAAACAATAGAACCATACGGGAACTAGATTTGAGCGGGACAACCATCGATCTGGTATAGGGTTTCTCAATCTCCATCATTCATTGTTTTTGTTTATTTAGCTAGAAAAAATACAAAAAGAAAAAATATATATAAAATAAATAAGAGCTAAAAGTTCAGATTTTCACGAAATTATTTTGATGGCAATTTGGAAAATATCATATGGTGGTATAGATACGTGGATGATGTCTTTGCTTGCTTTGTTGGAACGGACAGACAATTGAATTCTTTTTTAAATTACATTAACTCATTACATAATCGTATAAAGAGATTGAACATGATAACTCTATTAATTTTTTAGACTTAACTATTACGAAAGCGCAAAACAAATTAGATTTTTCAATATATCATAAACCTTCACACACGGACACAGTCGTACATAACAGCTCAAATAACCCTTATACACACAAGATGGCTGCATTTCACTCATTTATACGCAGACTTCTTAATACGCCACTCTCAACAGAAAACAAAGAACTTAATATCATTAAACAAATTGCACTGAACATCGGCTACAATCCGTCCATTATCGATAAAATTATAATTAAAAAACAAACCCAGACAACAGTGAACTCTATTTATCCGAAATCTAATACAGAACACGAACAATTTAAAATAATTACATACATAGAAGAACCTAGTGAAAAAGTTTCAAAATATTTGTCAAAATGTGGTTCAAAAATTGCTTTCAGAACTAACAACACAATAGGAAAATTTTGAAAGGACAATAAAACGAAATCTCAAAAATCAGGTGTCTACAGGTTGAAATGCGGATCTTGTCCTAAAATATATATTGGACGAAGAGGTAGATCCTTCAAGAAACGCATTAACGAACATAAAAGAGCGTTTGAAAACAATAGTCTAGATTCTAATTATGCTACACATTTAAACACAGAAAAACATAGTTTTGGCGACAATTTTGACATTTTACATACAGCCATAAACAGTAGAAAATTGAATTTATTGGAAGCCATGGAGATGAACAAAATGAGACATTCAAATGTATTGCTTAACGATCAATTAGATTTAAATACCTCTCCTTTATTGAATTTAAATTTTCACAACATTAATTAAGGTTTTATGGTCATTTTTGAGTATAGATAGTAGCAGGTAGTTTGTAAATAATAGATTTGATAAAGACACGGTGTTGTCGAAACAATTGTCATGTAAAAATATATAATTTCGTGAAAATCTCAACTTTCAGTTCGTATTTATTTTGATAAATGGATTTTCATCAAGTAAAAGCCACCTCAGTTCAGTTTTGCAGCTCTCAATCGGTATGTTATTCATTACATTTTTTATAAAATTTATAACACTGGAACTTAAAGTTGGAGTAACATTTTCTACCCAGACCTTTGATTTAATAATAACAACTTCGCTTTGATAATGACAATATTCGTTCCTTCTTATTAGGTCCTTATCACTAGGGTAGATGGTAGATTGATTTCTTGTTGAAAAATCTTCTACCTGATCCACCCCTGCCTTGTCACTCATGTCAGAATAAATTTGTTGTCGATGGTTAAGTTTAAATGGTCGAAAACCAACACGATGGAGATTGAGACAGACCAAATCTTATTTTCGGGAAACAACTGCTTCTGGTGCGGGTTCAATTTGATTTTGTAATAAGTTTCTGTCGTGAGCTTATAATCCAAACAAATAGCCCAGTAATAGGTTAGGCGTATTTTTTCGTAATCGAGGGTTTTTTTTTAAATGCATAAGAAAATGTTTAGAAATGAACGGTGTATACTTAGTGGGGCGCCGTAAGGTTTATACCTCGGAATCCAGGGCCAGTCAATAAATCTTTTTATAAACTTTGGCAATGTGTTTTTAATAGCATATAGAAAAATGTCAAAAAAAAAATTTTGGCGATCTTAATTTTTTAATAATTATTATAAATAATTATTAATTTTTTGGAGTTTTCCTTAAGTTATATTAGTGTAAAATTAGATTTTAAAAAGAATAACTATTACAAACTTCATCTTGGGTCTCAAGGGACTGCAGGTATAACGATGAAGGGTGGGGGATTCATGGGAAACGAAACTGACGCGGTAAAGTGACGCTTCCCGCAAGCTAGATCCGTGGGTAATTAGGTATTTTACGGACGGGAGTAGAAAAATAGATTTGATAGTACATTTTATTGTAAAAGATGGATATATTTTTAAATATTAAACAATTAAACGTTTCATCGGAGCTCGATGATGTTTCGATGTGTTCTTACAGCCAATCTCGTCTCCTTTTCCATCGGGAGCGCTTATTCCTGGACATCGCCGGTTCTGCCCAAGCTCCACGACAACGTGACGAATCCCCTCGGCAAAGCGACGACGACCCTCGAAGATTCGTGGATAACTTCCATGCTGAGCCTGGGAGCGGTGTTGGGACCTTTCCCGGGAGCTTTGTCGTCGGAGAAAGTGGGACGAAAAACCACCTTGCTCGTGTTCACTTCGCCGATGGCCGCGTCTCATTTGCTCTGCGCCTTCGCTGCAACCGTCGAACTCTATGTACTCGCCAGGTTCCTGCTGGGTCTCGGAATCGGCTGTTGCTTGGCGGTGTTGCCGAATTTCGTCGCGGAAATCGCCGAGGACAGAAACAGGGGTCTATCGGGGTGCGTTATGGGAGTGATGATGGCGTTTGGAAGCTTGTATTCGTACGTTGTGGGACCTTTCGTGTCCATACGTTTGTTCAGTGTGTGCAATTTAATCCCTGTCGCGTTATTTTACCTAACTTTCGGTGTTTTTGTGCCGGAGAGTCCGTATTTTTTCGTCTCCGTTGGCGACGTCGTCAAAGCGCGGCGTTCCTTGAGGAAATACAGAGCTACGATGGTCGAAAAAGAACTCTTCCTAGTAGTGGAAAGCGTGGAATATTGTAAATCCCGCAGGACCGGTGGGTTAAATACGAAGAGGGGGCTTTTTATAGGGTTGGGCCTGATGTTTTTCCAGCAGTTTAGCGGGATCTGCGCCGTTTTAAGCTACATGCAGACCATCTTCCACGCGGCAGGCGACTCTATCCCGTCGCACGTGGCCGTCATCATCATAGCAACCGTCGCCATGGTAACCACAGTTACAACAACTCAATTGGTCGACGCGATTGGCAGGCGTTTGTTGCTGATCGTTTCCACCGCTGGTTGTTTCGCGTCGCTCTCCGTGTTGGGGTTATTCTTCCGTCTTAAATCGACGGGATCCGATGTCGATTCGATGTGGTGGTTGCCCATCGCGTCGGTCGTCGCGTATATTGTCGCGTACAATTTGGCCCTCGGCCCGCTGCCGTGGACGATCACGGGCGAGTTGTTTACGTCCAAAGAGAAATCATCGGGGTCGGCGATGTGCGCCTGCGCGTGTTTGACGTTAGCGTTCGCGATAACCGTGTCGTTTCCGACATTGTCCGAAACGTTGGGGCTGGCGTGGTGCTTCTGGACGTTCGGAGGATGCTGCG